CTTCACTAGCACATTTTGGAGTACGTGCGTTGGAGTCTTGCGTGGGGAGCTGCGTTGTGCCATCTCGCTCCCCCCTTCTTCCTCCATCTCCATCTCTATCACTAGCGGAGCACCACACCTGGTGGGTCCGCGACATTCGTATCGGAGCGGGAACGTTCCCCGCTCCCACCCACCACACCGCACAGCAGGGAAAAACAGCCAAACCCGACAGTCGGGTTTTCGGCTGTTTTTCGGGCGTTTTCGGGCGAAAAAGCGGGACAAAGGTGCTGCAGCAGGAGATCGACACGTGGCGAAAAAGGGAAAGTCGTCACGACGCGTGCGCGCGAAGGCCAAGGCCGCTGCACACGCACACGCGCCATGTGTCCACACTCACCTGCTGGCCATGCGCGTGCGTGTACCACCCTCATAACACACTGGCCACAGTCTATGCATGGCCTTGTAGCACGGCAACCCCGTGTTGAAGAGGTGCCCCCCCGCCGGCGAGCAGCGAGCAGCAGCCAGCGAGGCAGCAACGAGAGAGGCTGCTATTTACCCCCCCCCCCCCCCCCCCCCCCCCCCCCCCCCCCCCCCCCCCCCCCCCCCCCCCCCCCCCCCGTGGCTTCTGCTGCCTGTGCACGTGGCCACCTGCAGTGCCACGTGGCACTTTGCTGTGGACTGAAGACCCCCTCTGGTTAGGGGGCTGCGCCACAGCATTATTATTATTATTATTTTTTATTATCTCTCTACTGCTGCAACAGCAACTCAAGATTTCCCCCTGGCTAGGGGGCCGTGTGACTGCGGTAGCAGGGTGGCTGATCAAGATCCCAGCCAACCCTACATCATCATCATTACCCATCAGGGTATGCTCACACAGCACACCTTGGATCTGCAGTGCTACAACTAGGGGCTGATCAAGATCTCAGCCCCCCTACATCCTCCAGTTGGTTGGCTAGAGCGAAGGCCAAGACCCTCCTGGTTTTGGTATACCTTGTGCCCTTGGAGACACAAAGGGCCATGTATCATCTCTCTCTCCCCTTTTCTTCCCCCCACCTTCCACTGCCTCTCTCCCCTCCTCTTTTTTTACCTTCCCCACCCCACCTTTTCTCCCACTAACCACTATCTTACCCTCTTTTCTTCATTTCTTTTCTTTTCTCTCCTCCTTCTTTCCTCTTAGTTTCTTGATCACTCTCCATCTTTCCCCATCCTCTTTCTCTCCCATTCTCTCACCCTCCTCTCCCCCAACTGCCACCACTTCATCCCCCCACCTTCCACTTCCATCTTTTTCCCTCTCCCACCTATTTCTTTCTTCTCTCCATCACTTTCTCATCCCCCCTTCCCCCCCCACTTCAAATTTTTCTGTTTTTCTTTTTCCTATCTCCCTTTTGATTTATATTTTCTCTTTTTCCAAAAATTCGAAATATCTATTTTCCCACCTTCTTTTCTCATTTTCTAATTTATTTTATTTATTTTTCTCTTTATTTTAAAAATTCGATTTTCTTTACGGCAACCCTAAATCTGACTAGGTGTTAGTCTTTCTTGCTTTCGGCACACGTTTTGACCCCGTGGGGGTAACGAAGTGCTGCCGAAATTTTCTGATTTTCCCTTACTTAGTCTTTTTCGGCACACTTCGACCCCATGGGGGTAACGAAATGCTGCCAAAATTTTTGACAAATTAGATACTTCTCCTCATCCACTTATTTACTTCTTTATTTATTTATTTAGTTCTTTATTTATTTTTTGAAATTTTTTTTTTATTTGCGGCATCTTGACACCTAGTGTGCTCACCTTGGTCTCTCCTTTCCCCTTGGCACATTCTTGACCCCGTGAGGGGTAGGGAAATGCTGCCGAAAATTTCAAAAAAATAAATATTGTTTTCCCTTCACATCTTTTTATTTATTTCTTTAATTATTTTGATTATTTATTTATTTATTTATTTATTTATTTTTATTTTCTCTCAAAATCTCGCTGTTTATTTATTTTTTCTTAGGCTCCCGCCTTCCCCCCCATATGCTTGTTATTTTACTTTCTTGATTAGGTCACCGGTACCCTACCCTAACCACTTAAACTTCGGTTAGGGTTTTCTTAGGGTTTTTGTAGGGTTTAGGGTTCTTCAAAACCCCCCTACTTCCCCGTCCTCTTCGAGCACCCTGGACCCGAACCACCCCTCCCCCTTTGACGGCGCCCGTGCTAGCCTTGCTACCGCCGTTCAACGCTTTCTACCGCGGACTTCCCCCTACGCCCTCCGCTCACGCGGACCTCTTCTGCCCCCCTCCAGTCCGGTCCGTCATCTCCCCATGGCCGACGGTGTATCACACGTCGCCGACACGGCGATGACCACGACATCGGGCTCCACACCCGTGCAGGCGGACTAGGGTCATCAGCCCCAGGGGGATCTGCACAACCTCCTCACCTCCCTCCTTGCGCCCATCCAGGCACAACTTGCGACCCTTGCGCCCATCCAGGTGCAACTCACGACCCTCGCGCCCTTACAGGCGCAGGTGGCGACACTTGCCGCTGCCGTGCAGCAACTCCAAGACGCTGCGTGTCCTCCATCTCCTGGCTCCCAGTCCGGGTCCCCCGTCCTCCGACAGGGTGGCCACGGCGGAGCTTCCTCCTCCGCTGCCCCGACCCGACCATCTTGGTGACTGTCCATGCCCCTAGCACGACGGCCGCCACGAGCCAGGTCCTCCCTCAGTCTACGGGCGCACCCGCCCAGATCCCGGTCACTACGGCCACAGTACCACAACCCGCTACCATGGTCGCAGCTTTTCCGGGTGCCCCACTTCTCCCTCCTCTTCGCATGACCGCAACGCCATCTGGTTCCCCCCCTTGTGGGATGCCTCGCGCCACTCGTGCGTCTCCCCCTGCCACACCCCGCTCGACCTACGTTCGAGGTTTCGAGGACGAGATCGCCCAGCTCCGGACCGACCTCACCCTCTCACGCCTTCAGCCACCCCCACCCTCGCAGGTGGCCGCGCCTTCCGGCGCACCCCCTTCTTCCTCTATTCTTCCTTCCATGCAGGCTCGCTTCCCTCGTCCTGCACCCTACCCATCCTCATCCTACCTCCTCCCCATCCCCTCGGTTGCTGCGACCTCTTTTACCGCAGCTCCCGTGCAGCCTACCGCTGTTTCCCCCGCCGCTCCACCATGCGGCCCGGGCGTACAGTCAGTTGCACCTCCTCCTTCAGGACCTGCGCCGACTTATTCAGCAGTAGCGCAGTCCCCTGCTTCCCGTTCTCCTCGCCACCAAAACGATGGCGCACCACTTGTCCGCTTGACGGACACTGCCTCGTACTACGGTACAGGCATACGCGTGTCTCGGTGGCTACAGTCTGCCACCCACACGCTCCAGCTCATGGGTGCTGCACCCGACACGTGGGTGGTTCACCTCTCCATGCGCCTGTGTGGCGGTCCTTCCGACGCGTGGGAGGATTTCTACGCCTACTCCGTTCGTGCGGGTCGGACTCCGACCTTCATGGATTTCCAGGCGTTCCTCGAGGATCGCTTCGGAGCCCGATATGACGTGACTGATGCCTTTGACCGTGTCGTCACTACAAGCTGGTCCGGCTCTGGTGGCGCTGCCGGCCTGGATCGCCACATCCAGGTCTTTCAGGACGCCCGCCTCATTTGTGACATGGCGTTCCTCCCCGAGGCATTTCTTGGCCAGCCTTCCGCTCGAGTACGGCTCCAAGCTATGGCGGTACGAGTTCACATCGGCCCCGCAGGCTTACGAGGCCGCCAGGGACCATCAGCGGATGCGGGCCCGTCTTCACCCCGCCTCCTCCTCCCAGCCACAGCGTAGTGGTTACGCCTCCTCCTCCTCTCACGACACTTCCTAGCGCCATTCGCCTTTCCGTGGTCGCCCCCGCCGTTCCATGCAGCAGGGACGTCACTTCTCGCGCTGCTTTAGCGCACTCGAGTATGGTGAGCAGGACGCTGGTGCCCCGTTGTCACCAGAGGGTAACCATAGCGCCGACCTCGACCTCGGCGACGCCGTCCACCACCACCTGGAGGACCCTACTCTCCCTATAGCTGAGCGCCTCCAGCTCATCCTCTCCACCCTTTCCCGGGCACGCAGCCGCCCCGGTCACGCTGGCGCGACGCCCCCCAAGGTCCCTCAGCAGGACCTCCCTCAGGGCTTTGTCCCTCCTCGCGGTGTCCTTTCCGCTGAGAAGCGCGCGGCTATTTTAGGCCGGCGTGGGTGTTTGCGTTGCCGCTTGGACGGTCATACCTCCTCGCGGTGCCCTTACACTACCGCCCTCAACCGCCACTACGCTTACCTTTTCCGCCAGCGTCGTGCTCAGTCCCCCCCCCGGCGCCTCGTATCCCTGCGGCGCCTCCTAGCCACGGTGCAGTGTACACCTGCGCCCTCCTCAATAGTGGGCTTCCCAACATCTCCGTCGCGGTTCGCCCCTCTCGCTACTAGAGCTGAGGTATCGCAGGACTCGACAGAGTGTACTCATCCCTCTGTTGCAGTACCGTTTGCGCCTCCGCAGACCACCGTCTCCCCTCCGTCCCCACCGCGACTACCGACGCGTTGAGCCATTCGCTCAGCCCGCTGCAGCGAGCAGCTTGCGACTCGCGAGTATGTTGTGTCCTCTCTTCTGGACCTGAGCATGCTCCAGGCTTGTTAGGAGCGACTCACCCTCCATATCACTGTCATGCGTCGCCTTCTCACCATCCTCTCTGACCCTGATCGCACCCTCCCAATCATCCCCGTACGACTGGGGACCTCCACAAGGGTGTACTCAGCGCTGTGGGATTCCGGTTCTCAGGGTGACTTCATTCACCCACGCGTGGTGAAAGAAGCCCGCTTACCCATGACAGGGTCTCCGACTCCCATCTCCGTTACCCTAGGGGATGACAAGACCCAGCGCTTCTTCGATCAGACGGTCACCAACCTCCCCTTTTTCCTCACTCTCGAGCCGACTGATCGTCCCCCGGCGTCTCGTCGGCACCGCTCCTCTGCACATTTCGATGTGATGGAGACGGGGTACGACTTCATTCTCGGCACTCTGTGGTCTCGTCGGTTCCGCAGCACCGAGGCCGATTGGGCGACCAACACTCTCGTTCTCAAAACAAAGTGTGGACAGACGTATTGCGTACCTTTCATAGGTACCATTGCGACACCACGCCCCGATCCTCCTCCCTTGGATCCTTCCGTGCCCACACCATCTCCTTCTATCACTCTCACCTCGCCTCGGCAGTTCGCCCACTTCATCTGACAGGACGACGTCACCTTCTTTATGGTGAACGTGACGGATCTCTTACACTATGATCCACTCTGTCTCGACGCCGAGCTCATCCCTCTGGAGCCAGATCCTCCTTCTATCTTCATGGCTCCCATCTCTACTTCCTTCCCTCCGCCGTCCGTCGAGTCCACCCCGCCGTCGCGCGCTGACGCTGACGCCGAGGAACTCGCACGATATACGGCTGACCTAGAGCCCGCAGTTCGTGACCTCATTCGAGAGTACCACGACGTTTTTCCATCGTCGTTCTCGTACGCCGGCATCCCACCGATGCGTGACGTCGAGCACTCCATTCAGCTTGTGTCTGACTATCGTGTTCACCACCAGATACCCTACAAACTCTCGACCCCCGAGGCCACCGAACTCAAGCGCCAGCTTGAGGAGCTCCTGAGACTGGGTTTCATTAAGCCCAGCAACTCCCCGTGGGGTGCACCCGTCCTCTTTGCTCGCAAAGCGGATGGAACTCTTCGTCTCTGCATCGACTACCGCGGTCTCAACTGCTACACGGTTAAGAACAGCTACCCCGTGCCCCGTTCCGATGAGTTGTTCGACCACCTAGCAGGCAACCGTTTCTTTACGAAGATTGATCTTCGTAGCGGTTACCATCAGATCCGCGTCGCTGCAGCCAACCGGCCGAAGACCGCGTTCCGATCGCGCTTCGGCCACTACGAGTTTACGGTGATGCCGTTTGGCCTCACCAACGCACCCGCTACCTTCCAGAGGGTGATGAACGACATCTTCAGGGACATCCTGGAGCAGTACGTTCTTGTCTACCTCGACGATATCCTGGTCTACAGTTGTACCCTTGAGGAGCAGCTCAAACACCTCCGCGATGTCCTTGACCGCTTTGCCCAGACATGGCTTCTACGCCAAGCTGAGCAAGTGCCGCTTTGCCCAGCACAAAGTGAATTTCTTAGGACTCTACGTGTCTGACCAGGGTCTCCACATGGACGACGCGAAGACCACTGCTATTGCGGAGTGGCCCGCCCCCACATCCGCCAAGCAGCTTTGCAGCTTCCTAGGCCTGACCAGCTATTATAGTAATTTTATCCGGAGATACGCTAGGTATTCCTAGGTCCTTACCTCCACCCTCCTCCGGAAGAACCCACCCTGGGCTTGGACACCCCTCCACAAGGACGCCTTCCGCGCCCTCAAGAAGGCGGTGACATGCACACCGGTTCTTCACCTACCCGATTTTGATCGCCCTTTTATCCTTACCACCGATGCGTCAGACTTTGTTGTAGGAGCAGTGCTTTCTCAGGTCTTCCCCTCCTCTCCTGATTCCTCTCATCCTCGTATCCCTCGTTTCCCACCACCTACCCCTACCAGTGCTTCCCGACTGACGCCTACTCGTCCACCTACAGACGAGCCTTCTATTGACTATTCTCCTACCATCGTCGAGGACGACACTGTCGAGTCTCGCTCAGGTGATTTTCCGATAGCCTTCTACTCCCGTCAGCTCCTGCCCGCCGAGATAAACTACACTGCTGATGAACGTGAGGTTCTCGCAGTAGTTTATGTCGCTCGGCACCGGCGTCACTACCTGCGCGGGGCACCGTTCACGGTGCGTACGGACAACTCTGTTGTCCATGCTTTTCTGACAAAGCCAAAGCTCACTCCTCGACAGGCTCGCTGGTGGCGCGACCTATCCGAGTTTAGTTTCACCACTGAGCACGTCAAGGGTGAGACTAATCGGGTCGCAGATGTCCTATCCCGGCGCCCTGACCACGACCAGGAGCAGATCCAACTCCTTGCCATCTCAGTCACCACCGTCCACCACTCGGTGATCGACGAGTTTCGCACTCAGTACCGCCACTGCCCCGACTATCGCGACATCCACGCGACCCTTCGGAGTGGCAAGACCGTCCCGAACTACTCTCTTGGGGACAACGGTCTTGTGTACTGGCACGGTTCACAGGGCACCAGAGAGCCCCGTATTTGTGTTTCCTCCACTGGACAGCTACGTGTCCGAGCAGTAGCAGAGTTCCATGACCAGGCAGTCGCCGGTCATATGGGCTTCCACAAGACGTTGGCTCATGTGAGCCGCCTGTACGTCTGGCCGAAGCACAAGGACTTTGGGAAGGACTACGTCGCAGAGTGCCCCACCTGTCAGGAGGTGAACAGTGCGAACCACTTGCCTTATGGTTTGCTCCAGCCTCTTCCGATCCCTAAGGGCCGTTGGCAGTCCATCTCGATGGACTTTATCGGTCCCCTTCATCCTCCGACCCCTCGCGGTCATGATGCTATCCTGGTCGTCGTCGACCGCTTCACGAAGCGTGCACGCTTTGTTCCGTACCGCTATACCATCAGTGCACGTGAGGTCGCCGACATCGTGTTTGACCGAGTGGTGCGTGACCACAAATTACCTCTGAGTATCATATCTGACCGTGACCCGCGCTTTACCAGCCGATTCTGGCGACGGCTCCACGAAGTGTACGACACTCAGCTCCGCTTCTCCTAGTCTTACCATCCTCAGACTGATGGTTAGACCGAGATCACGAACAGAACTCTAGGAGATATTCTCCGAAAGATTGTTCGTGACGACCAGCAGTGGGATCTCCATCTTGCCCACGCGGAGATAGCCTACAACCACGCCGTCTCGCCAGCCACGGGAATGTCGCCTTACTATTGCGACCTCGGCTATCACCCGCGTGTTCCCGCGGACTTCCTTCGACCATCCCAGCTGCACCCCGACACGAGTTATCCCGCGCTGGATGATTGGGTTGCACACATGACGTCGATCATGAAGACCGCACATGAGCACATAGCCACTTCCCAGACTCGCATGGCAGCACGTGCGAACCGATCGAGGATGGCTCATCCATTCAAAATCGGTGATGATGTGCTTATCGACGCCCGCCACTTACAGCTCGAAGCGGACACGCTTCGCAAGTTTCGATGTTGCTTCTTTGGCCCATGCCGCATCCTCCAGGCCGTCGGTTCTGATACGACATCTATCCCGGTCAACTTTCGTGTGAAGCTGCCCGATTACCTACACCAAGCTCGTGTGCACGATGTCTACCACGTCTCGTTACTGCATCCTTACCGCAGACCGTCTGAGCATTTTACTGAACGACCATACGAGCGCCCTCCATCCATCATGGTGGACGACCAAGAGGAGTTCCTTGTTTCAGTCATCATTGGTCGTTGAGTCACCGACGACAACCCTCCCCACGTCGAGTATCTCGTACATTGGAAGGGTTACCCTGATGAGGAGGCTACCTGGGAGCCCCCTCGAGAACTTGCAGCACGCTCGCATGTTGGTGCGTGCCTATGACCGTGTTTGTCGTGCTCGTTTCACTGCTCCTCCTCAACCCACTGACCCTCCTCCTTCTCCCCCGGCTGAGAGGACCGCTGAAGTCGAGCCTGCTCCATTTGAGGCAGACCTTCAGCAGGAGCCGGATGCTTCTGAGCGTCCACAGCGCACTCGTCGTCGTCATGCTCGATACGACGATTGAGTCTGACTTACCTTCCCGCGTCTTTGACTTCACCGTACTCCATCCACTCCAGTTTTGCTATTTCAGCTCGTCGACATTGCGACACTTCCTCGACGGCATTCCGGACTTCTCATCGTGGACTTTATCGGCAGCTTCATGGACTTCGTCACGATCAGCTCTGCCTACTTCAGACGTCGCCACTCTCTTACCACTTTACCCTGTACAGTACCCTGCTTGTATCGCATGATGGCCTCCCTTTAACCGGGTTCCTCTGAGTTGGGCTCTCCCTTGGTATACGCATAGGCATCGGGACCGTAGCGTTGCCCTGGCTTCCCATCTTACGGATCTAGCTCCGACTTCCCTCACTTAGGAGTCATTTGCATGATTCCCCTACCCATGAACTTTCTACCCTCTGCCGGCCCTCACGCCCTAGTTAGGCAGCTCCGCATGCTTCATCTAGGTGCGCCCAGTATACCAGGCTCCCTTGTTCCCTCGCATGGTCGACCCTCCATAGCGGTCACCCCTTAGTCGAGCTTTACCCGCCCTGATGGTCTATCTGTTAGGGCCATTGGTTCTGTTCGCTCCCAGTTCCGTACCCTCATTGAGCCTGATGACATATGTTTCCCCCTGTCACTATGTGTGGATGCCCTTAGGAGTTTTCAACCCTAGGCTGCATTTGCCACCCTCAGGGACCATCCCACCCTTTGGTTTGCGACACACTTCTCCTGCGACATATGGTTGACTTGTTGTTGCTTTGTTGCTCTCAGAATGAGGTTACTGCCTCTGACATTTCTAGGATTAAGTTGTTCTGCTTTTGCTGTTCTTAGGACTTATACACTAGTCAGTTGTTCCCAGACTGAGGCTACTGCCTCCAACATTCTAGGATCTAGTTGTCACTATTCTCTGCTTTCCTATGACATGTATGCTAGTTAGTTGTTTTTGCTTTCCTAGGACATGTATGCTAGTTAGTTGTTTTTGCTTTCACTTAGGCTGTTAACTGTGACATTTCTGTTTTGTGACATTTTCTATCCTAGGTTGCATCGCATGGACTCAGCATGGAGCTTGCTCCGCATCCTAGACGACTCAGGTTTTCTTTTTCTTTGGTAGAGTTCCGCTTCTTGGCGGAAGCGTGTTTGCATCTAGGCGATCCATCACAGGCCGAGGATCGTGTAGCGGACCTCTGGTTGCCCTGTGAGACCAGCCCCTTGGCCTGTTCTCACAGGCCTGTTTTCCATTCGGGGGCAGTCCAGTCCAGTCCAGGCCGGTACCTCTGTCGATACCAGCCAGTCCAGTCCAGTCCAGTCAATCCGTTGGGGTATACCCCAGCAGTTGTCTGTTTCGTCCTGATTCTTCACTTGCACATTTTGGAGTACGTGTGTTGGAGTCTTGCGTGGGAAGCTGCGTTGTGCCATCTCGCTCCCCCCTTCTTCCTCCATCTCCATCTCTAGCACTAGCGGAGCACCACACCTGGTGGGTCCACTACAACCCACCTGAGTGGGTAATACAATCAGCAAGGGTAAGGCAAACACCATAATACTATACAACTTGACGGTTAAAGCAACATACAGACTCCTCCGGCCAAAGATTAACCTGCGGGACCAGGTAGAAACGAGGTGGATGAAGCACCTGAACGTCAGCAAGGAATCATTAAGAAAATTATCTGAAATGGTTTCAGCTGACCAAGAGCAAGCCCGTGAATTTTGCCTCTGCAGTCGCAGATAGAGCATCGCTATCTACCAACAACAATTGGTTGATAGGCAGGTCGACACTTGAACAGAGAGGACTCGCCCTCCCCTGGTGCAGTCTCTGCGGCGGCGCATTCCCGAGAAGGAAAATACCAAAAACAATAGAACATGTCTTCTTACAATGTCCGGGGGCAGTCTGGCTCTTGAGATGGTGGGACAGGTTCTAAGATCAACTTGAAACAGGGACACCCTGGCCATGGAGCTGGAAAAACCTTACTATTCGAGAGACGGCCCACTGAACAGCCCGACACCTTTACTCGCAACATGTTCAAACTAGGACGTAGGGCAATACTATGAGCACTCTGGAAACGTTGTCGCACCTACGAGATGGAGGGAGTGAGGCTGGGAGGGCCAAAGTTTACGGAGACGATACAACAACAGATTCACACAAATATAACTATACGATGGGAAGAACTCAAATCACAAATCAGTCATATATACACAAACAGTGAAATAATGCAGAAGATACATGAGTTCAGTAAAAGTTGGCTTGGGGGGGAAACAGGAGGGAGAATAGGAAGGGTGGAATGGAAGGGCGGGACAGGGGAAGAAGAGAGGATGCAGGACAACAAGGGAGGATGCAGGACAACAAGGGCATAACTAGAAACTACAGACCCCTTTTCCACGATTGGACCAAGCTGGATGACTCAATCCCAATGCGGTCGAGCGAGGAATTCCCGGATTTCTTCCCGCCGCCGGCTAACAGCCTGGTGGGACTAGCATGGTATGGGGGGGTAGGATAAAAAAAAAAAATGTGCTCTGGGGCGGGTAGGGGATGGGAGGAACTACGGAACAACAACAAGTATTGGTTGAGGACCACTTGGTATGCAGGCGATTTAAGAGAATGTCATCTGTGTAGGATGACAATATTGTGGTCGGTTTTGATATTTCTGCTAGTTTGGTCATTTCAATACTCAGGTAGTTGGGGGAGGGGAGAATTAGATTGTAACAGCTAGTATTTGGCGCCTGTTTTCGGGTGAAGAGATTCTTACCCCCGCTCTCTAACCTCCTGCTCAGTTAATCCCCTGGACCCCAGGGTAATCAATACTGGCAGGGACCCTCCTCATCCTTTTCTTGACATGTTTCATTCAGCTTGTATATGGGACGCTGGACCCGTTTTCCAGCAGGTGATGCTCCCCACCAATAGATGGAGCGGCCCCCCCCAGGTGCTAGTGGTGTCTGCTCTTACCAGTATCATTAACACCGATGGGGACGTCTAAGAAAAAAAAAAAAAAAAAAAAACGCTCACAATAGTTACATGAGCTGCAATAACTGTTCCATATGGAAAATCATCATTCACCAATGACTTGCATGACCCAACCAAGGGAGCACCTACACACCCCGCCATCTCTACAGCTGCATATCAATCGAGATCAGCCTCCCACCCCCCCATTCGACCCACCCCCCACCCCCCCACAGCCGGTGATACCGCTGCTCATTCGCAAGTCTCCCCCTTGGGCCAAGAAGTTAGCAGAAGCGGACCTTCACATCCGATCATTGAATGTGAATGGCCTGCTGTTAGCCAACCAACAAAAACGCTCTGCCATATGGAATGAAATCAAAGACCACGACTCCATATCATGGCCCGACGCGATATGCATGCAAGAAACTCGCCTAGCACATACTCCTAACCATGAGGCCAAAAGACAACAGATTTCACCGCACACAACTTACTCCGCTCCAGCCACAGTCAGAGCATCAGCTGGAGTAGCCATTTGGCTCCCACCATCATCGAGGCTGAAGCCACTCCGCTTCGACTATGACCAACTTGAAGGGTGATGGGTATATTTGACAACAACTCTAGGGGAGGAAACGGTACGTATAGTGAGCGTCTATGGGCGGAATGACATGAATGAAAGGGTGAACTTCCTACAAAGCTTGTACCAGATCCTACCGACGAAGATCCCGTTCATAATCGCGAAAGTTTTCAATATAACCCCGGACCCGCAACTAGATAGACGATCTACTGCACAACCTGGGGGAGGGGAAATGAGACATGGCATCCTCTTCCTTGACCAATTCATAGAGGATCTCCAACTACGAGACAACTATAGGCAGATTCACCCCACTAAAAGAGCCTACACTTTCTTGAAATCTAGGGATGAGGTGGGCCTATCCAACTCCCGCATTGACTACTTTCTAGTTTCCCAAGTTCTCACAAGCCTAGTGATAGTGGCAGAAATCCAAGCCATAAGTCCATGTAGGTCATTTGACCACCGGGCCGTTATCCTCGGCCTTTCCTTTCACCAACACCTATCAAGAGGTCCGAGTTTTTACAAATTTAATACATCACTCCTCAAACTACCGGAACTACAGACACTGGTC